GCGAGGGTCACCCGAGGAGGGACGAGGAGGGCTCGGGCGACCACAGGCGGCCTCCGGGCCCGCCCTGGGTGTGTCCCGGCCATTACCTCGGGTGGAGGCCAGCCGTGGCGACGAGGGGCACCCCGGTGACGGCAACCCGAGGAGGGGCGAGGAGGAGGAGGAGGAGGAAGAGGAGGAGGAGGAGGAGGAGGGGGGGGGGAGGATTTTGGATTGCACGGCTGATGAAGCAGATGCCTGTCAGTTGAGGGCGGCGCTGCAACGTGCAGAAACTTTGAAGAACGGACAGGCAGGCTGGCTGACCTAAAAAGCATGGATCTGCATGGGCACCAAGTCTACAAGTACAGTACAGTACGAGGGGACCCCCGCGACAGAGCGGACGGAACGCGTCGAACCGAAGCAAGGAGCCCAGCCCCTCCCAAACCACATCACACCTCTCCTTACTACCCCCCATAATAGGCGACTGGACGGCGAACGCTAAAGGCGGCGACAAATATGACGTGTGTGCCTCGTCCAGGGCACTCGGCTGAGGGGAAGGAGGGAGGGAGGGAGGGAATATATGTGAGAGGGAGAAAGAGGGCTGGGACACAGACCGAACTCCTCCTGCTCTCGTAGCACGGAGCTGAGCGAAGGCTGGGACACAGACCGAACTGCTTTGCTCTCGTGATGTCGTGATGATCCATCATCCCCCCGTATACACATGCCTAGAAGCTACACGCGAAGCGCACGAAACAGCAGCGGACATGCCCCAGCTAAGAAAGGTGTGCCGCACGGGTGCAAACGCTCTGGCTGCTCTGAGAGCACTGGCACAAATCGCTACACACCCCTGGGTCAGGCGTACGAGAACCGTTGCTGGAAAAAGCGCTGCGGCGGTGTATGGCAGAAACGGGCTGAATCGGGGGTGAAGCGAACGAGGAGGAGTGAAGAAGGCTGGGGCGCAACCGAAAACTTCCTGCTCGTAACCTGCGACGGGGCAGACGGCACACGCCGGCACGAGCGTGATGCAGATCTCCTCCTCCTATCCTCCCTCACTTCAAACAATCCTCTCCAAATCAAGCGGCCGGCATCGGGTCGAACAAAGAATCGAACTGCCGAGTCGTGGCTCTCGGCCACTCGGGAGGAGGAGGGGAAGGGTGGAGGGAGGGAGGTGACATGATGACGGGAGGGAGGGAGAAGGCTGGGACGCAGACCAATCACCTCCTATTCTCGTGAGCGCAAGAAATAGGCCGCGTGGAGCACCACAACGGGAATTACCACACGGAAATCTTGCCAAGATAAATGTCGTACCTGAGCGAGGGAAGGACAACTTCGCACCCTCGCGACACGGTCGAAGAGCGATGCGCATAGAGATACACAGCAGCACGGTTATCGAAGCGCCATCGTCGGAGGTCCTGGACGCACCCACCTATACACATGCATCAGAAAAATGTTTTCGCACACTCTGCTGCATGGTGGCGAATGGCTAGATTCCCGGACACGTTTCACTCGAACCCATTTCCACCGCAAGCTCATTCCCAACGCCAGAACGTATTTCCGAAAGGGCGGCCGGCCGGCTGGATGGCAGCCCTATCACGCGCTCAAGCTCGGCGGGCGCAGAAGGGACTTCGCTCTCTCCAGCTCCAGGCGTCGGGGCGGCCGTGTGGCTCGCGGCGAGCCGCACGAGGGCACCAGCAGCCGCGGGGCGGGCCTCGGCCGCGCGGCCCGCGCGGGAGTGGTCGGCAGCGTGCGGCGGCGGGCAGCTCGTCCCAGGTGCCGTGGTCAGGCTCGCCGGGAGCACGGGGGGGCGACTGGGAGGAAGTCCCCGAGCAGCCCCAGGTGCCTCTGTGGACCCCCACAGCCGCTTCCAGGCAGCGCCTTCGGCCGCCCGACTGGTGCCCAGAGGCTGCCGCGCCACCTCCCCCGGGCCCCGAGAGGGGACGCTGGGGGGGAGGGGCCTGCCCACTGCCGCTGCGCGGGCCAACGGGACGACGTGCTCCTCTGCGACCGCGCCTCTGCGACCTCCAGCAACAGGCGGGGTCACAGCAGCCGGGTAAATCGGCGAGACCACGACGACGTCGCTTTGCACGGGCTCGCGCTGCACGTGCGCCTCCAGCACCGGCGCGGGCTCGGAGGCGGTGGGAGTCAAGGCTGCGCGCCTGGCCTCCGCTTCTGCCACCAATCGTTGTAGCTCGCACACTCTAGTACGGTGACTCTGCACGAGCGGGGAATCCGGAGCCGTCCGTTCGAGGCTGAGCAGGATGCGTGTCAGCCAGGACACATGCTGATAAAGGAGGCGGATCTCTAGATCCGCAGCCTGGCTGGCCGAAGTGGGCCTGCAGCGCTGTACTCGCTGCATCTCTGTCCGGCGTGGCGGGGCAGCCTCGGGCGGAACGGCTGCAGCCTGGGCCGGCTCTGACGGCGAATGGGCAACTGGCACTGTCACTGCAGACTCGGCATCGGCACCAGCTTCACCATCCACATCTCGCTGAACATCGAGGGGGCCGGCTGCCACTGCTAGCACTTCACGCACGGGCTGATCGGGGTCCGGGAGCTCTTGATAGCGGGCTCCAGCTTCACTGTCAACATCTCGCTGAGCATCGAGGGGGCCGGCTGCCACTGCTAGCGCTCCCCGAACGACCTCCCCCACTTCGCCGTGCCGATGCTCCGCAGCAGGCTCGGCCGAGCTCTCAGCGAGGGCGGCCTGCACGGCGGCCTCCAGGTGCTCCTGCTCGGGGAACGCCACGGCGGGGACGGCCTGCGTTCCGGGGGCAGATTCCCGAGGTGGATCCGGCCGTGGCGACGAGGCGGGGGAGTCAATGGCGACATAGCCCGATGGGCTAGGTAGGGGGGGCCGCCTCGTGGGGGGATTCCCATCTTTATTTTCTTTTGATGGGTCTACTCCGGGGTGGAGCGCCCTTGGGGTCTGGGCACTCAAGCCCTTAGCAGCGGCGGCCGCGGCATCCGCCGCACTCGCAGCGGGAAGCGGGGTGGGGCCCGTAGGCTGCCTCGCCGCCTCCCCCGGGCCCCGACAGGGGACGCTGGGGGGGAGGGGCATGCCCACCTCCGCCGTGCGGCCATCCCGCCCAGCGGCCACAGGCCCGGCCGCGGCCGCGGACTCGCCTTCGGCGAGACGCCTCCGTCGGCCCTCGCCTTCGTTCCCCTCCAGCGGCGGCGGCGTCGTGCGGGGCTCAGCCGGCACTGCAGCGGCTGGAGCGCCAGGTGGCGGTGGCGCTGCCAGCGGCGGTGCAACCGGTGGCGGCGCCAGCGGACCTCCACCAGCGGGCGGGGCCACAGCAGCCTGGGATACCTGCGAGACGGACTCATCAGACGAGTCGGCAGCACCGTCGGGGCCGTCCTCGCCACCCACATCTCGCTGAGCAGCGAAAGTGCCGGATGCCACGTGCTGTAGCTCACGATGTCGGGCTCCAGCTTCACCACCCACATGTCGCTGAGCAGCGATCGGGCCGGCTGCCACTGCTCGTCCTCCTCGCTCGCAGCTCGGAGGCGGCCCCGACGGCAGCTTCGGCCACCACATCGGCGCGGCGGCAGCTGGGGGCGGCAGCGCGGCGGGCACCCAGTACCGCGCAGCCGGCACCGAGCCTGCGGAGCACTTGACGTGCGCATGGGCGTCGCTGGCGGCGGCGGCGCGCTCCAGCACCGGCTCGGGCTCGGCCGCCCGACGATCATCATGATCATCATGTCTATGGCCTGCACGGCCGCCAGCTGCGGGAACGGTACGAGCAGCCACTCGAGCGAGACTGGCCACGTCGCTCATGAGCGGCCGGCGGCCAACGCGGGCCGCGAAGCCGAGCCTGCGCACAGCGGCGCGCAGGCTCGGTCTCGGCCGGTCGCCATGGCGCCAGCCGGAAGAGGCTCGTGGGGCGCGGCCAGCCCGCCGCTCGCCTGGGCAGGGCGCGGCGAGGCGGCCGGCGCGCATGGCAGCTGCCCGGCGCGCGAGGTGCACTGCTCCTGTGGCAGTCCCAAACACCTCGGGCAGGGGCGGCGGCTGGGGGGGGGAGGAGGGGGAGGAGGAGGAGGAGGAGGAGGAGGAGGAGGAGGAGGAGGAGGAGGAGGACGAGGAGGAAGAGGAATAATAGTAATACACAAATAATAAGACGCAGAATAATAATAAGCATACTGGAAGTACGGATAATACTAATAATAAAGAAATGAATAATAATATGAATCATACTTAGAATAATAAGAACTGTAATGCTACTACTAATCAGACTAATACTACTACTAATAATAATATTAGTAATAATAGTACTAATATTACTAATAATACTAATAATACTAATAATAATAATGATCATAATAATGATAATAATAATGATAATAATAATAATAGTAATAATAGTAGTAGTAATAATAATACTAATACTAATAATGATAATAATATTATTAATAATAATAATACTACTACTACTAATAATAATGATAATACTACCATTACTAATACTAATAACACTATTGATAATACGACGACGAAGAAGACTCATAATAATAACACTACTAGCAATAATTATACACATCATAATAATGATACGAAGAACAATAATAATAAGAGGAGGAGGAGGAAGAGGAAGAGGAGGAGGAGGAGGAGGAGGAGGAGGAGGAGGAGGAGGAGGGGCGAGGAGGGCTCGGGCGACCGGATGCGGCCTCCCACGCCACGCCCTGGGGGCGCGTCCCGGCCACCACCTCGGGTAGAGGCCGCCCGTGGCGACGAGGGAGCCCCAGGGAGCCCAGGAAGAGCGAAGCGCCGCCCCTCCGCCCACCTCCCCTCCGTCCTCCACTTCGAGAGGCCCAGGGACACGCCAATAAATAGACACGGATTCTAGGATCAATATTTTTCTTCATTTCCTGGATCTTCGTCCTCCCTCCCACTTCGCATATTTTGCTACACTTTCTTTTCTGGGGGATCGCTGGCACGTTGTGCCCGTGTGTTTTTTCTCCCCTCTGTCCTCCACACCACTCCCGCCTTCCCCCCCTCCCCCTCTCCTCCACCCGCACAGCGAGCTGAGGTCAAGTCCGAGCGCTTCATCGGCATCGACCGCTGCTACGGCGCGCACCGGGAGGGCGCCCGCACGTTCCTGCCGGTCCAGGCTCTCGGAGCCCCCGCCGTCTGGTTTGGTGTCCGTGCACGCGTGCGGTTCGCGCCCAGGGTTTTCGGCGCTTGCCACGCGGTTTTCGCAACACCTTGTCAGAGCCTGCCCCCAAACTTGGCATCCACAGACTCTGGCCAGGCATGATCTGCAAACAATGGCTTGTCGCCATGCCCCCCTCTGGCTGCGGCTGCTTGGCAGAAGAGCGGTTCGAATTGTTCGTTGCCTTCCTCAGTGATGTCGACGTTCGAATCAATGCGCTGGCGCCAGGGACCAGGAAGCGGCCATTCTGTGTGGTCCAGACGCCCTGGGTGGTATGAGGCCCTCAGCGACAGCCTAACGGGTGCGCAGTTCCCTCAGGAAAGGCGCTTCCCCAGAAACCAGCATTTGGGCTTTTGGTGGAAGCGTGTCGTGACCATGGTCCTGTTGTCGTGCTGTGCGCGGCTAGCGGCTAGCAGCAACAACGATGTCGGGACGGGCCTGAGCAGACTGCTGGCTTCATTGCGTCGTTTCGCAAGCATCCTCCGCGGTCTGGTGCGAGAGCAAGACGACAAACAGCTGAGGGACGAGTGTCCCACCTCTTCTGCCACTCTGCTCCCGTGACATCGGTGCGGCAGTGAAGCCCACTGGAAACTGCAAACCTTGGAGCCATAGTCTCTTCCCCAAAGATCGGCGGCCAGCGAGGGGGGGAAGTGAGAAGTAGAAGGCCCTCTCAGAATGGTCGGACGTCCCTCGGCCTTCTGAGAAATTTTTTAAGCCTTCCCCGAACACACAAACAACCTCTCAGAAGGCGCGAGGGCTTCTGAGAAGTACCGCCGCCTTTAAGAGGGCTTCTCCTTTTCTCTCCCCCCTCGCTCGCCGCCGAACTGAGGCTGTGCCTGAGGGTCTCCTACTTGTTTCTGAAGCACCAGTGGGTGTGCCGCTCTTCGTCAGAGGCGGTCCTCGGCGTTCCTCGGAGCCGCCCGGGGGTTGCCTGGGGTCTCGGGGTTGCCCTGGGTCGTGCATGCAGTGTCAAGCAGGGCCAAACAATGCCAAGCAATGCCAGGCAATTCCAAGTAGTGCCAAGCGATGCCAAGCAGTGCCAGGCAGCACCAGGCAATGCCAAACAATGCCAATCCATGTCGAGCAAATGTCCCAACACATGCCAAGCAGTGCCAATCCATGCCACGCGATGCCAGGCAATGCCAATCAATGCCAAGGAACGCCAAGCAATGCCAAACAATGCCAAGTAACGTCAAGCATTGTCAAGCAACGTCAAGCATTGCCACGCAACGCCGAGAACTGCCAAGCACTGCCAAACAATGCCAAGCACTGCTACGCAATGCCAAACCATACCACAGTAGTGCCAAATAGCAACAGGCAGTACCACGCAATGCCAAGCATTGCCAAGCAATGCCAGGAAATGCGAAGCAGTGCCAAGCAATACCAAACACTGCTAAACAATGGCAGACAACGCCAAGCAATGCCAAGCAACTCCAAGGAATGTAAAGCCAATGCAAAGCCACTGTAACGCAGTGCCCAGCAATGCCCAGCAATGCCAAACAATGCCAAGGAATGTACATCCAATGCAAAGCCAATGCAAAGCAATGCCCAGCAACGCCTTACATTACCAAGCAATGTCACGCGAAGCCAAGCAATGCCAAGCACTGCCAACCAATCATTCCAAGCAATGCCAAGCAAAACCAAGTAGTACCAAGTAGTGCAGCGCAATTCCAAGCAAGACCAATCACTGCTTTGTATTGCCTTGCTTTGCGTTCGTCAGAACTGCTTTGACTTGCCCTGCAAGAAAAGCAAGACCCCTAGTTGGGGTCGGGCCCTGTTCATAGGCAATCAACGGCTAGCATAGCGCCTTGCGCCCCCCCTCCCCCCACCACCACTGCCACAGTGCACCCTGCTCATCGCACACGTATGCTGGATGATGGGTTCATCGTGGTCCATCGCACAGGCATCTTCGCTGTCGCGCGGATGCGCGCGTGCGCGCGCAGGCTTGTGGTCCACAGGCTTTTGGTATACACAGGCGCGGGGTGTACATGGGCCCGTTGCGGTGTAAGGCGACATTGCCATGTGTTTCTCATGTGCATGGGCATGTGCCTACGGTGTACACAGGCAGGCGCAGTGGTGTATCGGAGGTTGGGGGGTGAGATCGCAGTGGAACGGAGACCCCCGACCGGGAAATCGTTTTGTTTCGTTCGTGTCGTGCGTGCGGGCAAGGCGAAGCTGCGTGGGCTCGCGAGAGGAATGAACCCGCCGTTGCTAGGGCGAAGTCAAGACAAATGATTCTCCCCCGCCCGCCCGTCCGGCGGTGGCCACCTGTGTTCCGCTGTGTCCCGTGGTGTCCCGTGGTGTCCGCCGCTGCTAGGGCGAAGTCAAGACAAATGATTCTCCCCCGCCCGCCCGTCCGGCGGTGGCTCGTGGTGTCCCGCGGTGTCCTGTGGCGTCCTGTGGTGTCCCGTGGTGTCCGCCGTTGCTGGGGCGAAGTCAAGACAAACGATTCTCCCCCGCCCGCCCGTCCGGCGGTGGCCACCGGTGTCCCGCGGTGTTCCGTGGTGTCCCGTGGTGTCCCGTGGTGTCCGCCGTTGCTACGGCGAAGTCAAGACAAATGATTCTCCCCCGCCCGCCCGTCCGGCGGTGGCTCGCGGTGTCCCGCGGTGTCCCGTGGTCTCCCGTGGTGTCCCGTGGTGTCCGCTGGTGCTAGGGCGAAGTCAAGACAAATGATTCTCCCCCGGCCGCCCGTCCGTCCGTGCGGCGGCGGCTCGCGGTGTCCCGTGGTGTCCCGTGGTGTCCCGTGATGTCCCGTGGTGTCCCGTGGTGTCCCGTTGAGTGAGATCGATAGTGAGATCGATAGTGAGATCGATAGTGAGATCGATGTGGTGCCCCGAGGTGTCCCGTGGTGTCCCGTGGTGTCCCAAAAAGTGAGATCGATAGTGAGATCGATAGTGAGATCGACAGCTGTCCCGTGGTGTCCCGTGGTGTCCCGTGGCGTCCCGTTGCGTGAGATCGATAGTGAGATCGATAGTGAGATCGATAGTGAGATCGATGTGGTGTCCCGAGGTGTCCCGTGGTGTCCCGTGGTGTCCTATGGTGTCCCGTTGAGTGAGATCGATGCTGAGATCGATAGTGAGACCGATAGTGAGATCGAGAGGTGTCTCGTGGTGGCCCGTGGTGTCCCGTGGTGTCCCGTGGTGTCCCGTGGTGTCCCGTTGAGTGAGATCGATAGTGATATCGATTGAGTCAGATGTTGGTTCCCCCCCCTCTCCCCCCCCACACAACTTCCTTATCACCCGAAGGGTGGTCGTATTGGGCATCTGTCAGAGGTGATTGCACCAGCCTGTAGAGTGTACCTGGCCATATGTAAAGATACTGTGTGCTTCCCCTGCGCATGAGGGGATGCATTACCTGCACACTGGAGGGTCGCAAGCGGTCACCTGGTGGTGCTCGCATGCTATTGGGTATTCAGTTGCTCATAGGCACAAGTTTTTGCTGTGCATACACGTGCTGCTCGCAGGCATTTATGGTGTCCGCAGGATTTCACAGCCCTCGCCGTCTGGTGGTCGCAAGCATGTCGCGGTGCTCACATGCATGTTGTGGCTCAGGCAGACGAATGAGGCGCTCATGTTGCTGGTGCTTGCGGACATACTTTCGCGCTCTCAAGCTATGTTGCGGTGCCTATTTTCATCGTGATGCCGGTTGGCAGTCTGCGAGTCCCACAGGCGTAGAATGCTGTTCTCAAGGTGGCACGCTCTCCCCAGGAAGAGTAGGAAGGGGATGAGCAATCGCCTCTGGGGCGCTCAATAGAACAAGTTGGAGAATGCAGTGAGGATATCTGGTGATCGACATACAGGCTCGGGTCAATGGCTCGCTGGCCGAGGGAACGATGCGCACTCTTGCCAGCGTTTGTCGGCTGCCTCATTCGTAAGGTGGACTGGAGAGGGCGCGGCGTCAGCGATGATGCGAACGTCCCTAGATTTGCTCCTCTCCCGCTCTGTCCTGCCCCCTTTCTTTTCTCATTCTCCTTTGCCGCCTCGTCCCCTCTCTCCCCAGCAGGGGCCGATTCAGAGACAGGGCAACTGTTTCAGAAGGCGTGCAAGAGGGGGCTCCATCTCGAGCTCGCGGAGAGGAGAGACGAGTTGGGAGGGGAGGGCCTTGGAGGGGCGGGGAGGGACAGCAGAGGAGGAGGAGGAGGAGGAGGAGCAGGAGGAGGAGGAGGAGGAGGAGGAGGAGGAGGAGGAGGAGGAGGAGGAGGGGGAGGGGGAGGAGGAGGGGGGGAGGAGGAGGAGGAGGCGGAGAGGAGGAGGAGGAGGAGGAGGAGGAGGAGGAGGAGGAGGTGGTGGGGTGGAGATTGGGAACGGGCTTGGGAATGGCCTCCTCCTCCTCCTCCTCCTCCTCCTCCTCCTCCTCCTCCTCCTCCTCCCCCTCCCCCTCCTGGAGGAGGGGGGGAAGGGATGGGCCTCGAAGCCTTCGGGGACTCGCTGGCCTTCCGCCCTCGAAGTGGCGGCGGCGGCGGGCGCGGCCGATCCGACGCTCGCGCGGGAGCGGCAGGCCGCTGACGCGCGAATGAGCACGACGGAGCGGGTCCGCGGGCTTGGCACCGCAGGAGCATTTTGTCCACCTTGCGAAGAAATGCACGCACGAAACCCAAGAATGCACAGGAAATGGACAGCCGAGCGATGGCGAGCGGGAGGGCTTCTGCTTGCGTATTCCCCTCCCTGGCACCCGTTTGGGCCCCCTTTTCCAGGGGCTGCACAACCAGTCTGGAAATGCTTGAGGGCCTCCTAGAATATAGGAGACCAGGGCGGAATTCCGGCCGGAGTTGCGACCAGAACTTGGATTGGCCTTGCGACCAGACTTCGGGCCAGCATGGCGACCAGAAGGGCGACCAGAAATGCGGCCGATGCTCGAGCGGGAGCCTCACAAGGCGAACTGGAGCGGCCCAGCAATTCCGCCTGCAATTCCGCCTGGAATGTGCGCGTGCGGCCCCGGCCAGGGGGCCAGCTCTGCCCCGCGGGCCCTGGTGTCCTTTGGTCGCCCCCGCGTGGTCCACAGGCCTTCGCTCCAGACTCGAGTAGGGTGGGTGGGGGGGGGAGGACGGGTTGGGAAATGCACGCTGGGGAGGGGAGGGGGACACGCGACGGAAGAGGGGGAGGATCAAGAGAGGGAGGAGGATGGATGCGGTGTAGGACGAGGAGGAAGAGGACGCCTCTTCCAGACCTCTCGGAGCCTCCTGGGACCGATATGTCGCCTCTTGGGGCCATGTCGGACTGCCTTGGAGCCATTTTGGATTGTCTTGGGGCCATCTTGGTCGTCTTGGACGGCATGCCAGATCGTCTTGGAGGCCGTACAGGCCTTTCGGCTGTCTTGTAGGCTTTCTTAGCTAGCCGTTTTGAAGTCTTTGTTGGGCTATTTCGGTTGTCTTGGAATCCGTCTTGGACCGGCTTGGGGCCGTCTCGGGGCCCTCCTGGGGGCCGTCTCGGGCCCTCCTGGGCCCCTGCCAGAACTCGGTGGAGAGAGCTCCCCCTCCTTCTGTCTACCTCCGCCTCCCTTCTCCCGCACACACTCCTCCTGCTCCTCCTCCTCGATCCTCGATCCTGCTCCTCTCCCTCTCCCTCCCTTCCCCACTTCCCTCCCCTCCGCCCTCCCTGAACCTCCTCCCCCCCTCTCCCTGCCCTCATGCCCCCCCGCCGTTGCCTGTCCCGCCGCCGGCTCCAGGTGGGGGTCTGCGCGGCGAGACGGGAGCCTTCGAAGGAGAAGGACGGCGCCTGCCATTGGGTGCTGTCTCCCTTCTCGCTCTACGTCTTCCCGCGGGACTCGGGCGAGCACCACTTCTCGGTCTTTGTTCTCTTTCTTCTTCTTCTTCTTCTTCTTCTTCTTCATTCTTGTTATTATTGTGTTATATATGTATATTGGTGTTTTTTTGTTTTCTTCCTGGGCCCACCACGGGCGTCCTCGTGGCCGTGGCCGCGTCCGCCCTGAGAGACTCTGGCCTGAACGCGCCTCTGGACAAACAAAGCAACCGGGGCCAGTTGCTCGCTCATCTTTGAGCGAGGGGTCTCCGGCGACTCGGAGGATCTTGCGCGGGAGCGTTTTTTTCTTGCAGGTTTCGGCGTCTAGATCGACTGGACGTAAGAGTGACCTTTCGCTGGAGTGACTTTTGGTGCGGCCTCCCCCGATCGCTGAGCGCGAAGCGATAGCGGCGGCTTGCGCGCCCGTGTTTGGCCTCTCAGCCGTGCACCAACACTCTTACCCAGGGTCGCTCTCACGTGTAGCCGACTAGAGGGTGCTTCCTGGCCCTTGGACCGTCAACTCCGCCAGACCCCTTGTGGGGCCATGAGGCTGCGGGGGTCAGGCTTGCTGCTCCGTGCTTCAGTTCCAGTTTCAAGTCTCCCATGTTAGAGTTCACTTTCTATTTCCTGTTGTGAATTGTTCAAGTTCGCGCGATGGGGGGAGCTCAAAATGAGCCGGTTACCTTCCCCCTGGGGTGGTCTCAGAATTCCTGGGAGGGGGTCGTGGTGCAAGTAAGAGATTCGGGCCCCCGAGGCAATACAACTTCGTACGTCATGTGAAATTCGCGTGTCCGAGGCCGTAAACCCTCGTTAATTTCGCCGCATTCGCGTCCCCGAGGCCGTAAAGCTTTGTAAGTTACGTGGTATTTGCGTCCCTGAGGATGGCCGTCGTTGGCACCGTCGCCATTTTCCAGTATCATCAGCGCCCCGCTTTCGAAATGGAGCGCAGAAGAACTGTGTGCCTCGATTGGTACCAACCAAGGCGAAATTGTACGACTTGACGCATGTCGATCGAAGGGGGGAGAAGGGTGAGTAGGACCAGTAGACGGATGGAGGAGGAGGAGGAGGAAAAGGAACATAATAGAGGCTGAAAAATGAAACGGCGACGACGATGACGACGATGTATGTGGCATGTCGTCTGTATGCTTCAAGCGGTACCGACCAAGTGGCAGAAGAAGTATGTCGTCTGTATGTTTCAAGCGGTACCGACCAAGTAGCATTTGAGGCGTGTCTGCAGTATGTTTCAAAAGGTGCCGAACACATGCCGCTTGCGGCATGTCGTCTGTGTGCCTCGAGTGGTACCGACCTCTGCTGCTTGAAGCGTGTCGTCTGTTGGCCTCAAATGCTACCGATCAAGCGACATCTAAGGCATGTCGCCTGTATGTCGCAAGTGTCACCGACCAAATACAATTTGAGGTCTGTTGTATGTATGTCCCAAGTGGTACCGACCAAGGACAACTTGAGGCATGCCGTCTGTGTGCCTCGAGTGGTATTCATGATGTGCCACTAGAGGTATGCCGTCTGTATGCCTCAATTGGTTCCGGGCAAGTGCAAATGCGGTGCCGGCGAACTGCCAGTTCAGGCATGACGCCCGTGTGGTTCAAATTGTACCGGCCAAGGACCACGTGCGACATGTTGTCAGCGTGCTTCAAGTGGTACCAACAACTACCATTTGCGGCATGTCGTCAGTGTGCCTCAAGTGGTACCGACCCGATGCCACCTACGGCGTGTCGTCTGTATGCCTCAAGTGATACCGACGACGTGAAATTTGAAGTATGCTGCAAGTGGTACCTCTGGACCACATGCGGTATGTTGCCTGTATGCATCAAGTGGTCTTGACCAAGTACTACTTGAGGTGTGTCGTCTGTATGCCTCAATTGGTGCCGTTTTAGTACCGCTTGAGGCATGTCGTTTGTATTCCCAAGACCGCCCCAAGTGGTACCAGTCAGGAGTCACTTGCGGCGTGCCTTGTGTATGTCTGAAGTGGTACCGCCCAAACATTCCAGTAAAGCCATGCCGTCTGGATGCCTCCAGTGGTACCGATCAAGGACCACTTGAAGCATGTCGTCTGTATGTCTCAAGTGGTGCTGGACAAGTACCACTTGCGACATTTCGCCTGTGTGCCTCGCGTGGTGCCGACCTGTGCTACTTGAGGCGTGTCGTCTGTATGCCGCAAGTGGCACCGATCGAGCACCACTTGAGGTTTGTCGTCAGTATGCCGCAAGTGGTACCGACCGAGTACAGCTTGAGGCATGTCGTGTGCATGCTTCAGGTGGTACCGATAAACGACCATTCGAGGCGCGTCGTCTGTGTGCTTCAAGTGGTGCCAGGCCGAGAAATCCGACCCCTCCCTCGCCGATCAACGATTCAGGCAACTCGATGGGCGGCGGGGGCAGGGCTCGGACTTCGTCGAGGACGTGGCGAGATTCGGACGCTGCCCACGCCTCCCATCGGTTCATGAGAATCGATGGCTGGCGGGGGGTAGGGTTGGTTCGGGCACGTCCCTCCTCTACAGGAGGAATATTCAACAACAGTAAAACGATACTCTGGGGACGATGTTTTGACTGCTGTTGACCTTTTGAGGGTGTTTTTGGGGTATTTTTTGTTTATACATATAACGGCGCACCGGGTCCGGGGGCCCGGGGCCGGGACCCCGACCACAAATGTGGGCTCCGGGGGGCCCGGAGGCTCGTCGGACCGCCGGACGCCGTCCAAGATCGTTCGCAGGCGGCTTCGAAACGCGCTCCGATGGCTCCAGATGCCTTCCAAGACGCCTGTCATGACACCAAGAAGGTCCCAGAAGCCTCCAAGACGCTCCGAGAGGCAGCCCAAGAGAGGCCCAAGAAGCAAAAATCGTGCCATTCCTATGGGAAAACGTATATTTTTCGCATGTTCGCCTCTTGGGTTTTCACCGCGTCCAAGACGGCCCAAGAGGCGCCCAAGACGGTCTACGAGGCCTCCGGGAGCGCTCCAAGGCTGCGCACGAGTGTCCCAGGACGGCCCCAAGACGGCCGAAGAGAGCCCCAAGACGAGTTCGAGAGGGGTCCCAGACGGAGAAAGCCAACCTCGAATTCCGAGCTTCCGGCCCAAGAGGCTCCAGGAGGCGCCAAAATGCCGCCAAGAGGCGCCAAAAGGCTCCCAAAAGCACCCCAAGACGTTCCGAGAGGCACCCCAAGAGAGGTCCAAGAAACAAAATCGTGCCATTCCTATGGGAAAACGTATATTTTTCGCATGTTCGCATCTTGGGCTTTCACCGCGTCCAAGACGGCCCAAGAGGCCTCCAAGACGGCCTAGGAGGCCTCCGGGAGCGCTCCAAGGCTGCGCACGAGTGGCTCAGGACGGCCCCAAGACGGCCCAAGAGAACCCCAAGACGACTTCGAGAGGGGTCCCAGAAGGAGAAAGCCACTCTCGAATTCCGAGCTTCCGGCCCAACATATCCCAGGAGGCGCCAAAACGCCACCCAGAGGCGCCAAAAGGCTTCCAAAATCAGCCCAAGACGTTCCGAGAGGCACCCCAAGAGGTCCAAGAAACAAAAATCGTGCCATTCCTATGGGAAAACGTATATTTTTCGCATGTTCGCATCTTGGGCTTTCACCGCGTCCAAGACGGCCCAAGAGGCCTCCAAGACCGCCCCAAGACGGCCCAAGAAGCTTCCAAGAGGGCCCCAGGACAGCCCAAGAGGGCCCCAAGACGGCCCAAGAGGCGCCCAAGATGGCCCAAGAGGGCCCCAAGACGGGCCCAAGAGGGGGCCCAGAGGGGGACCACGAACCGCAAGCTCGAGCCTTCCGCCCCAAGAGGCCGCCAGGAGGCCCCAAGGAGGCCCCTCAAGAGGCCCCAGGAGACCCCCAAGAGGCCCAAAGGAGGCCCCGAGAAGCCCCAAATCGGCCCCCAAAATGCTTCGAACCTGCTTCCAGGAGGCCCCCGACAGGTTCAGAGGCTCCCGAGAAGCTACGTCAAACTCCCAGCGAGCGGCCGGACGAGGCCCCCCACAAAATCACAAGAGGGTTCCAGTATTTGTATCCTTCAGCGCTCTCAGGCCTTCTTCCCCCTGCCCCCGTCCCTGCGACTTTCGTTGACTCAAGCTCGCCTCCTAGCTAGAACCTAAGCGCGCGCGAAGCGCGCGCGTGGTTCTAGTTAAATAAGTTTTCGCCCGAAATCCGCCGGTAGGGGGACATGCCCGACCGAAGGGTGGGGTTCGGATGCCGCCACCCATCCAGGGAACGGGTCGAGCATCATCATTCGAGGGCATAAGAAGACGCACCTGCCCTGGTTTACGAGGCGCTGTGCGCTGAACCTCCTGTGGGCTGACGGGCTGAACCCTGCGTGATGTGCGGGAGGTTTACAGACCACGCACTTGTAACCCAGGGTAGGGTTATGTCGGGCGTGTCCCCCTACAGGGGGATTTTCGACGACAAATCAAACATACCCCAAAAATGCCCCCAAAAGGTAAAACAATATTCAAAAAATAGTCCCCAGACTATTTTTGGATTTTTTTCTGGTTATTTTCGTTTTTTTTTATTTATTGTCGAAAATCCCCCTGTAGGGGGACAGGCCCGACTTAAGGGTAGGGCCGTTTTTTCATCCCTCAGATCATGACATCGGAGGGCCGGCCAGGAGCACCCCGGCGGCGCGCACGAAGGGGGGGTGGTGCGGCAGGGGGGCGGCCTCCTCGGGGGGCGGCGGGGCCGTCAGGGAGCCGCGGCGCCCCGCGCAGGCCGGGCGGCGGAGGCCATGCACGGCCGCTGCTCCCCGGCCGGGCCCGTCCTGAGCCCAGGATAGGGGGCCGCATGCGAACCCGACCCCTCCCCCCCACGATGTCTGAGGGGGAGGGGTAGGGTTCACCTCGCTCGGGAGCTCCCGAGCGAAGTGACCCCCACCCTCCCCCTCAGAACTCGTGGGGGGGAGGGGTCGGGTTCGCATGCGGCCCCCTACAGGCGCTGCACGTGCGCAGTCCTGGCCGGGCCAGGAGGGCGGGCGCGGCGTGCGCACCGCTGCCGGGTTCCGGGCGGGCCCGGGCAGGGAGCAGCAGGGGGGGCACAGGGGGGGCCCGGGCCAGGGAGGCACCCTGCTTGCCGCCAGGGTGCCCCTGGGTTTCTCGGGCTGCGGGGTTTTTGCCACGGAGAGCGCGGCGCGCCCACACCAAACATCGAGGGACGTCCCGATGTCTCAGGGCTGGGTTTCTTCTGGGAGGTTTTTCTCGTGGCCGGGCCCCTGCTGTCTGTATAGATCTCGATGCCCTATGAGAACCCAGCTTGGAGGAGCCCTCTCAGGAGGGCCCGCCGGGACCTTTCAAGCCCCTGCCCTCTGTCCAAGAAGCCCCGCCCGCCCCCCCGTTCCCCCGCCCGCTCAGGAGGCCGCCCCCCCCTTGCGCCCCCCCCCCCCCCCTTCCTCTGGCGCACCTTTCTTGCAATTCCGCTGATTGCCTAGCTCTGGCAGCGCCCTGGGAGCGACCTGGGAGCGCTCTGGGAATGCCTGGGAACGCCTGGGAGCGCCTGGGAGCGCTGTGGAGCGCCCTAGGGGCGCCTGGGAGCGCTTGGGAGCGCCTGCGAGCTCCTGGGGGCCCCTGGCAGCGCCTGGAGAGGGGCAGAGGGGAGAGCGGCGGCCTCCCGCAGGGGGGGGGGAGAGGGAGAGGGAGAGGGGTTGGCTCTCCCTCTCCCTCTGCCCCTTGCCCTCTGCCTAAGAAGCCCCCCCCCGCCCCCTGCCTCCCCCCCCTTCCCCGTCCCCGCCGCGCGCGCCGCCATAGGCTCGGCATCGCTTGGACGTGCGCATTTTTACTTGATTATTATTATTATTATTATTATTATTATTATTATTATTATTGTTATTGTTGTTATTATTATTATTCTTATTCTTATTCTTAGTATTATTATCATTACTATTATTATTATCGTTATTATTATTATTATTTTTATTATTATTATTATAATTATAATTATTATTGTTTTATTATTATTATTATTACTATTATTGTTATTATTATTAAGATTATTATTATTTATTATTATTATTAGTAGTAGTTTATTATTATTATTACTACTATTATTATTATTATTATTATTATTATTATGATTATTATTATTATTATCATTATTTTTATTTAAAGCATATATTTTCCTCCTCCGCGAGGGCCACCGAGGAGCATCTCCTGGATCGTCTGGCCACCAAAAGGCGCGCGCGCGACATCGAAGACACGCACGGGGGACGGGCGGCCGAGCCACGGCAAGCAGAGGACACTCCCCCCCGCCTGCACTCGACCTCCTGCCCTCTTGCAGATCCTCTGCTCCGGGCGAGGCTCCTCCCGAGCTCCCAGGGGTCATGCTTCACCCAGCCACGGCCACGGCCACGGCCACGGCCACGGCCACGGCCACGGCCACGGCCACGGCCACGGCCACGGCCACGGCCACGGCCACGGCCACGGCCACTCTGCGGCCAGGCACCTCCCAAGCGCCTTTCCTGGGCAGCCCGCAGGCACTGCACAACGCCCTTTGAAACGATCCTCCGAGTCCTCCCGACGCGGTGGGCTCAGGCGCGTTCGGCCCTCCGTGGTCCCCCGGGGATGTCCACGTCTGCCGCCTCCGGGTGTCCCGGTCTCCCGTCGGTGGCGCGCCCCGAGCGGGGAAGAGAGGGGACAGGCCTTCTCGGAAGGCTCCGGGGCTTCTCAGAAGCCCTCGGGCCTTCTGAGAGAAGCCTGTGTCCGTGGCTCCGGGCAGGGCTCAGAATGCCCCGCCCCCTGGGCGCGCAGCCGATCTATAGGGTGGTGGACATGTCCCTCGGGGGCCCCCAAACGGTGCGGTGACCACCCCGTACGGTGAGTCAGTGGGGGTTCGGGGTCGCCGCACGGTTCTGGGAGTTTGGCCGTTCTGCGCCCAGACATGCGACGTCCTGATTGGTCCCCGGAAGTCCCGGCCCGTTCGCCGGGACCAGTTTGTCGTCCTGAGTTGTTTTTTGACGGCCCCGAGGCCCCGCGAGGGCCCCCCGAGGCCGAAAATTGCCAGGCATTTTCCGCCCTGATTTTTTTTTTTTGCGACGCGCGCATGGGTGGGCGAGGAAGTCTTGGGCGACGGGGGCCTCTGAGGTCCCAAGGCAGCGCGGCGGCGGACCGTGCGAGGAGGTCTCTGTGGCTTGCTCGAGAGCACCGCACGGCCTGCCGCCGCACCGTTTTGTCGGACCCCCCAAAAGTTATGTCGGGCGTGTCCCCCTACAGGGGGATTTTCGACGGAAAATAAAGAATATCCCAACAATACCCCAAAAAGGTCAAACAATATACAAAAAAATATGTTTTGGACAATTCTTTGATTATTATTTCGAGAGAGGAAGAAAACAGGAAACTAAACTTAGGTATCAAAAGCGCTATGTTGGCAGCGTGTTACCCTTTGCAATGGACCATCAATAGTGCACATATAAAACCACCGCACTCACTTTGGGCCAACGCGAAGCTGGCCAACTAAAGTGCGGTGACAAACTCATGCAGGCCTGGCCCGTAACCCCGTCAATCTTGACCACGCCCACTACGCAGTCCCGCGACGCGGGGGGCAACGCCTTCCGCGCCACCACCCCGCAATCGACCATGCCCCGCTTTCAATTTCGATTGCACAGCGCCGCATGGCGGCTCCAAACCGCAAATCGATCCACCAACGTTGGTGCGTATTTCGGCCATCGTACTCGCATCACCACGGCCACCATCACCGTCGATATCGATTATCACGGCGGCGCGCTTATGGCCCACGCCAGTGGACCTCCATCCGTGCGCGCGCGACCAGGACCACCTGTGTCATCATCGCCATCATCAGCAGTGCCTTCCTCCTGCTCTTCCTCGTTCACCCCCCTCGTCAGCTAGTAAACTAAGTAGGAACTAAACCATCTAGCATTGCGTCGCAAACGATTACAATGCATGCCGATGCCCCCGCCCCCCCCCCCCATCGCACATCCCCAGTGTCAGCTTTCTTGAGGCGGGGGTCGCCGTGGCATTTGTCTCGCGCTCCTCGTGCTCGTGCGCGGCGCGCCCACCCCCCCCCCCGCCGGCCGCCCGAAACTCTCGTGGGCTTGGGTTTGCCGAGGATCCATTCGAGCGCCAGAAGGCGTTTGCTCTGGGCTCTTCCCTTGAAAAGTTCTCTGGGCCTTAGTTCAAGACCTTGGCGAGATGCGGGGGGGCACGGGGTAGGGGGCAGGCGCTGAAACCAAGTTTTTCGAGCGGGGATGGTTCTACTGAGCGGCGCCCTCCCCTTTCCTCCACCCCTCCCGAATAATTTTTTTTTGGGGGGGCTTGCACTTGCGTTTTTGGTTGCAACAGGTCGTGATGGCTCTCCGTAGCCGTTTTGGCTCACGTTCAGAGCTTCCCCGCCGTTCGGCCCCCTGTCTTCAGAGATGGGCAAGCGCGGCTCCACCGAGGCTAATGTCGCCGCCAAGCGTGGCAAGATGAGCAAAGAGGTCGGTGCCCTCTTGTCGTCCAAGGCTTCGCTTGAGCATCGACAGGAGGTGAAAGAAATCAACGAGGTAATCAAGAAGGACCCCAAGCAGGCCAAGGCCTTGCTCGAGGTCTCGAAGTGCGACGTGCGCGGCCCTTTGACCTCGGAGTTTTTCCCCTCGGACTTGGCTGGCAAGACGTTGAGGGCTGCGCCTCTGAATTTCATCGAGTACGAGTTCCTGCCAGCTGTCGGATATGACAAGAGCGCGGTGATCAACATGAGCAGGAAGGACTCGCAGGCCCCGAAGAACTTATTCCATCGTCTCACGCTCACGTTGCCTTCGGACGAGTTCGGGCCTTTGCAAAGGTCGGTGTGGTTGGCTACGTATGTGGACCGTGCCAGAAAGATCAACGCCTTCGGAGATATCGTCATGGACGATAACAACGTTATCGACTTTCCTAAGTCTGGGCCCTTCTACCTGATGCCACCGTGCCAGGGCGACGTCCCTCTCCAGGACCACGAGTGCACTCACGTGAAGGTCCCTGGCAAGACTGTGCCCATTTCTGGGGACACGAGAGTCACAGCAATCTACTCGATTGAATCGAATTGGCTCTACAACGAACCCTTTGTGTTCGACCCGGAGAAGCCGTGGAACAAGATCCCGATCAAGTCCTTCTTCGAGGAGAAGATGCCGTGTCGCATGATCCAGGAGACGTTCGGGCCCATCGTCGTCCCGCAGTTGTTGGCGTTGCCACCGTGCCCGCAGGAGGTCTCGGAGAAGAAGGAGGAGGCCGACGCGACGAGCGAGGCGACGGCGGGCGCCTTGGCGGCCATCATGGCGGAGGGCAGCATCGCGGCCGACGACATCACTGAGGTTCCCGACGCCCCCGTCAAGGCCAGTGTTGCGTCGAGTGCGATTTCGGATGCATCACCGACGGGCGGCGCAGCAAGCTCCAGCGGGTTGGCCCCCTCGCCACCTTCGTCGAAGTCCTTGGTGCCATTGGTGGGCCTGCCTGGCGTGAAGCCGCCATCGGAGCTCTCCGAGAAGAAGCGCAGGGCCAAGCTGGCGTTGGCGAACCAGCTGGACCAGACGGTCGGACCGCCGACGCCTCCGTGATTCTTCGAGTGCTGAGTTGGACGGGACTCTCGTGAAGCTCTTTCTGAAAAAGCCACGTTTAGGCGCCAGCATTTTTTTGTTCAGGGGATCTCGGGCCGAGCGAGGGGGTGTCATCTACGTCCATGCTTCGCACAGTAGCGATCCAATGCAACTTATGTTCCACACCTCCTCGGATCGGCCCTGGTCTTCCCGATGCGAGGCTCGGAGGGTTCAGACACAGACACTGGTGGAGACGTTGGGATGTACAGTTCAGACTGAGCTGTGTGGCGCATCTCTGCCGTGTGCAATCAGGTTACATGCGTATTCTAGCAGCCGCGCTGGCTGCCCGCTCAACCAGTTGTGGAAAAAACAACAACAACCACAGCATGTAACGTGTTCGGCAGCATGCTGACCAGTTTTGGGTCGTAGCTATGGTGCGGTCCCATGCCTCCTGTGTTGTTGGGCCCTCTCGTTCTTCTGGATGCGTAGCTCGTCAGCTCGCTAACATAGATTGTCCAGATTGGGTATCGCTCTAATGACTCAGCAATCTTATTCAGTAGCGTATGGTGCAGCTTATGGCGCAACTACCTCCCGACAAATGTTGCACTCATCCTATGGCGCAACCAATTGCTCAACCTATGGCGCAATGTCTTGGTAAGCTACCGTGATCACGTGTGGCCCAGATGGGCCTTTTCGGGGCAGGGTGGAGGGGGTAATTGGGACGAGAGGCAGGGGGGGCGGAGGAGGGCTGCTTAGAGGGGGGTGGAACAGCAATTTGCTTGTGAGCGGTGTCGCAATCGTTGTGTCGACCGTCGGACGCTGCATGCCTCTCTGTCGTTCTCTTTGCCGCAGCCTCGCAGCTGGCAGCCAACTCCACTCGAGTCGATGCCATCGCATTTTCGCTTAATGTAGCACCTTTTCTGAACTCACGAGTTCGCCGCGCACCATGGCCGACGATGAATCCTTCGACCGTTCCAGATTCGAGATCATTCGAGACAGCGTTGTTGGGAAGGATTTGTTATATGAGCTGCTCTCCGAGCGGCGGGGGTACTTGCCAGATGGCCACTGGTCTCTCGATTATTGCGCCGACGGCGCATTCGTCCACATCGGTGACCGCAATATATGGTGCGATGGCTGCCTCCTCCCCCGCCCCCCCCCCCCCCCCCTCCAACTGGGCAAGGGAAGACAGCTGGAAGGAGGATGGGGCTAGCGGGTGGGGCAAGGGGGAACAAAGGAATGGAGGGCGGGGGTTGCCATAGAAAGGAGGGGGCGGCGAGAGGATTGGGAAGGTGGCCAGGAAGGAGGGAGGTCGGAGGAGGGAATAACGGTGAGGGGGCAGGTGGCATCCAAAAACCTAGGCATTCGCACCTGTCGAATTCTGGGTGTCTCCTGTGCGCTGGCATTCCCCCACCCACCCGTGACCCCGCCCCGCCGTATTGTTTTCGGGCGCCGCCTCGAACCTTCATTGGAGCCAGAGCCCCAAAGGATATATTCACAGATACCGTTGTGAAAGTGATACCGTTGTGAAAGTGGATGACGTGGTTGGCATTGCAGTGCCTGGATCTGACACACCGTTGACGCTCAAAGAATACCACCAGCGCTTCGAGACCAAATCGGTGCCCATACTTCAGCCAGGTCACGGCCTCCTCTTTCCGATGCGCTCGGCTGACCAGGGGTAGGAGGGTATAACAAGAACATGGGGCCACTTGTATTGGTCCTATCGGGTGGGCAGGTCGGGCAGGAAGCGATTTGGATGAGGTGGGCTGGCCAACAGTCGATAGGTCTGATCTCTCGAACCGAACTTGTGTTTTTGTTTCCGCTGGCAAGCGGCCTGGCGAAACTCAGTGACATTGTTGACGCTTCGCGTGCCCCCCCCCTCCCCCAGCCCATCCAGCAACGATGCGCCCGGGCGCCCATCCAGAAACGATGCAAACAATAGTTCGGGCGCAGAGTGCGCGATTGGCCACGCTCGGGACAATCCGTATCATGTGCCAGAGGGCTTTGAGAAACAAGGACATCAATCGCATTCTTTTTGTGCGAGAGGCTGCTGCAGCTTTCTGCAAATACCGCAGTGCGTCCCAAGTAACACATACATGGGCCTTCTTGCCCTCCCCCCCTTCGGAGGCCCCCCGAGGTTCAAGAGAGCCTCCAGAGATCCTCAATGGGGCCCCGAGGAACGCCCAGAAAAGGGGGGCCCAGAGGGCCCCTTCCCAGGTCCAGAGATATATTGATACAAAGGCTCCCCGAAGTCTAGGTCTTCAGCGCGGTCCGTAGCCATTTGTGGTTCGAGCCTCGTTCGATGCCGCTGCGGTTCGAAGTACCGACCTCGCCATGGCGCGCGACCTGGTCATGCCCCGTGGTGCCGCGCCTGCCTTCAGGCGTAAGTGGGGGCTCCTCGCGTTCAGGCTGAAAAGGGAGCAGAAGAAGTCGGCGCAGCTCTTCAAGCGGCTCAAGCTTCTCAGGCAGAGGGTCAAGTTCGTCATCTCGTATCTGAACATCGGCTACACCAACGACCATGCGCTCGACACCTACATGAACCAAGACCTTGACCAAATGGTTCCAGAGGAGTCGGGCTCAGACTGAGCTGAGGGCCCGTCGCCGCTGCCGCTGCTCGTTTCCGCCGCTCTCTAGAGCTGCGCTCGCGCATCCAGCACCTCGGCGCGGCATCTGCGCGGCATCTCTGCTGCGCAGTTGGGCCCGCCTCTCTTGAGCTTAGCGCCATTCGCGGCGGCTTGACGCCCGCGAGTGATCTTCCGCTCGAAGGCCGCGCTAAACCATGCAGGTCACGATGGGTGTGGATGCCTCTCGTCTCTCATCGTAGGCCTCTCATCCTCCTTCATATCCTCCTCCTCCTCCTCAGTATTGTCCTTCCTTGCCTCGCTCCACCTCCGTCGGCGGGGGCCAGATAGGGAATGGGGAGGGGGGGGGGGGGGGGGGCCGTCGGGGAAGGGCAGCCCCTGCGCACACAGGGTGAAAGCCGCCCTAATAAACAAGGTCCCACCCCTAACCGAGCTCAGTCAACATCGCGTGCCGAAGTTGGCTTGAGCAAAATGGCTTGTTACCGAACATTGTGTTGTCAACTAAAGCCATGCAACATGACTTTCGCCGCGCCCCCCCCCCCCCTCCCTCCCCCCTCAAAAAAAAAAGTCAAACCAGTTCGCTGAGGGGGGGGGGGGGGGGGGGCTGCAGACGAGATGTCCCGAGAGTGTTTCACACTTGGCTTGGCCAAAACCTGCATTGTCAACTACCCCTCCCTTCCCAAACATGCGCGCCTCATCTGATTACAGGGCACCCGCAGACCCTTTAAATCGAATTGGAGACCTTGGGCTGCAGACGTCTAGTCCCGAACATTATCCAGGATTTGTTCTTGAAGCTCCCTTGGCTGCAAACCTGCTCAAGGGGGGCCCAAGACGGCCCAAATGGGTGCCCAAACACGTCCCAAGAGCCCCGCCTTCCCCAAGATAGCACCAACAGGGCTCAAGAGAAGGGCCCAAGGGCTGAACAAGGCCCCCCCCCCCCCCCCCCCCGAGATTGCTCCAAATGCCCCCATCCCCCCCCCCCCCCCCCCCCAAGAGGGCTCAAGAGAGCCCCAAGATTGCCGAACATGGCCCAGTCGGGCAAGAGGGCCCCAAGTTGCCAGGGGTCGACCCAGGGGACCTGGGGAGGTCTTCGGGCGTCGACTGGGGCCCAGTACGAGTGCCCCACAAGCGTTGGTTTGCTCGCGAGTGCCCCAGTACGACCTTTACTGATTGACAGCATTCAGGTTGCTCGAGTGCCGTGCGAGATATCATTGTAGCTTCTGCGTTGCATCCCAGCAAGGCCGCACCGATCCAGATGATTTCAAGTGTTTCATTCTGAACGTGCCCAGTGGCGGGGTGCAAGTGCTTTGGTCTCTGACGAGTGCTTACGACATAGTGATTGGAAAGACGAATGTGAGTTGCTGCCGCTGGTATCAGGACTGGCGGTATTGGCGGCAAAAAAATATGGCGGCGCTGGGGCTTCAGGCTGAGCACGTGGTTCGCAAACTTTTGCCTACGGCACGTGCGCCTGCATCAGAACGTGACACTACTTATCGCTTCCTTCCAGAACCGACGATGTCCACGATTGCTCTTCTGAATCTTCGTCGCTTCGCGTGCCCCGACGGCCCAGCCAGAGACTATGCCCAGGGGGGTGGGGACTTGATCAGGCACGTTGGGGGTGTCATTGCCCAGGCGAGTTTACTTGATCAGTGCCCTTTGGGAGAAGGGGATGGGGGAGCGGAGCGGGGGACGAGCCAAACAAGGCGCCGAGCCAAGACGGGGCACGAGCTCAAATACACCCCGAGCAATGTTGAATAATGCGCGGCCTGGGGACCGACGCGAGCTAAACTCGCCCCCAGCACGAGCTACGCATACTCACGAACCCATAGGGGACACGAGCTAAAAGGGGGGGCGGGCTCATAATGGACACGTGGTAAAATGATGCACGAGCTAGGGGGGCGCGATGCGCTAACAGTGGGCACCAGCTAACATGAAACACGAGCTAAAAGGGTGCTCCAATTAAACCAGGCCCTGGCAAACATTGCGTTCACGAGATAACGCAGGACACGAGCGCGAGCTACAACGATGCACGACCGAACAAGCGACGCGAGCTAAAATCGTGCAAAGTACGAGCTCCAAAGTGGCATCGGTCACCCTTCATCCTGGCCGATAGGACACTAAAGGTTTGCGTTTGGAAAAGCAGGAAGCCGCGCGAGCGACAACCAATGCAGCCGACGGACGACGGACGACGACGGCGGCGACGACCGACGACGACGACTGATAGGTAGCAAGACAACTTTAAACTTTAAGGGGCGACGACGGGCGACGGACGACGGACGACGACGACGACGACCGACGGCGACGACGGATAGGCAGCAACCAATTTTTAAACGTTAAAGGACGACGACGGGCGGCGGACGACGGACGACACAGACGACCGACGACGACGACGACGGATAGGTCACACAAAAAAGTTTAAACGTTAAAGGACGGCGACGGGCGACGGACGACGGACGACGACGAGGTCTTTGCAAAGGGGTCTTCCAAAGGTTTTTGTATGGGTCTCTGCAGGGCTCGTGGGAGGGGTCTGTGCAAGGTCCTGTAGGGCTCTGAGGGGCTTGTAGGGGTCCCAAGGTCGTTGTAGGGGTCTCTGCAGGGCTCTGTAGGGGGTTGCCAGCTGTCCAAAGGAAGAGCCCCCTGAATCACCTTGGGCCCGACAGGGCTGGACGGGTTACCTTCCCAGGTGGTCTGGCTGCTCCAGGGGTGGCAGCAAAAAAGAGGAGCAATCACGAAGGTGGGGTTTGTTTTTCGACGGAGTAGTTTCTCGCTTCTTTGCTGACACAATGGGGATAAGCATTTTCTTAGGCAATTGTTGCGTTGTCAGGCCTGGTCTTCCAACGGTTGGATCCGATGCAGTGCGCCTTCGCATGCAAGAGGGGCATATCGACTTGTCTCCGTTGTGCTGCGAGGTCCCCTATGCGGAGGCGCTGCTCGTCTCTCTCGGTATTCCCGACATCACCAAGGCCCCCACCGCTTTCTTCATGAAGCAACTTGAGGGCTCGTCGAGAAGAGGCATGTGGCTTTGGAAGCAGATATTATTTTGGTTCGCAGCCATTGTAGATGGTACAGTTTTGGCCTACTCTGGCAGCGATTCGGACAAGGATGACGACGACCTCGACCCACCAGCTCAAGCAGATGAGGAAGGTGCTGCCGATGAGGAGCCAGCTCAAGCAGATGACGAGCCAGCTCAAGCAGATGAGCAGTTGATGGAGAGCTCGTACATGAGGCAACAAAAAACGCACGCTTCAAGCACTCTCTGGCATGGCAATTCGCAACTTCGACGGCGAGACGGACCCTGGCAAGGATTCTCTCACGTACTTCATGGCCGCGAGGATGAAGCTGCACAAGAGAAATGTGATCCACTATGCCGTGGACCAGGCTGACTCGGGTTTGGTGCCGAGGATGATCGGGTTTCTTACCACTCCAGGTGGTCATGGGGTGTGGGCGCCTCCAACGGAGATCGCTGGCTTCAAGGTTGAATCCACACTTCCGATGGTCATGGTGTTTAGTTGAACTCGTTGTGTGGCTTCCTAAGTTAACTTGCCACGTTAAGGACGTGTAATGTTGCAACATTAATCAGACAAGCGCCCTGTCACCCAGGGGCATACATCAACGCTGAAAAAACAAACAAACAACTAACGCACAGACGCAACACGGTTACATCAGTTAAACGTAAGCATACGTTGTATTTATAATCGTGAGAACATACACATATAATGAGTTGTATCGTGCACGTTGTAGTAGCAGTCGTGTCATGTAGTATAACTATGGTGCGTGTGCGTACACGCGTGCGTGTGTGTGCGCGCATGCGTCCACGTTACATGTACATCGCGCATCACCTTCGGAGTTGCGCGGGGCGTTTGTGTTAGTGTGCCTGCGCGTTGGCACGCGTGCGCGTGCGAGTCTGCGAGCTTGCGTGCGCTGTGTGGGTCGTTCGGGCGCGCGCGCGCGCGCTCTTGCACGTGTGGCGCGCGACGTGCTGCAGCCTGGTGTGTGTGACCCGTTGCGCGCGCAGTTCATGTTGTCGTTTGCATGCGTTGATCGTTTCTCCCGTCGCGAGCTCCTGTTTTCTTTCTTTCTGCTTTGCAGGAGCTGCATGTTGCTTCCCTCCGCAGGTACCGCACTGGCAACTACGACCTGTACAACTTTGGCTTCTACGACAACTTCGCCTTCAACAAAGCGGCGGGGCAGCGCCGCGCACTCGGGCCTGGAGGGCCCGTGGCGCGCGCGGGTGGGCAGGGGGAAGGGTGGGGAGGTTGTCGCGGCATTCGCGGGGGTCTGCCTGCGTGGGCCCGTAGGAGTACTGGGCCGCAAGGTCTGCCTGCGTGGGCCCGTGCGAGGGGGGAGGCATGCCTGCGTGGTCCGTACGAGGGGGGGGGGGGGGGGTGGGGGGGGGGGGGTGCGTTTGCCTGCGTGGGCCCGTGGTCTGCCTGCGTGGGCCCGTAGGAGGTCGTGTGTTTCTGTGTTATCTGCAAGCCTGTGAGATTTGCGCGTTCGGTGGGGCTGGGCCCGCGCGGCGCACTCGGTGCGCGCGAGGTCCACATGGCCCCGTGGCGACCGTCCGTGGTGCGTGGGCCGCCGAGCAGGGCCCCCAGGGTCCAGCCCCCCTGAGGGCCCTGCACGGCGGACCAGGGAGGGTGCCCCCAGGGGCCCACCCGCGACCACCTAAACTAAACTCCCCCCCCACCCCGCGACCACCTAAACTAAACTTGGCCCCTGCCTCCACGGGCGCGCGCCGCGGGGGGGGGTGCGTTTGATTGGAAAAACATAGGGAACGAACCACCTAAACTAAACTCTGGGGGGCCCTGGGGGGGGGGGGGGGGGACGGGCTCCGCGGCGCGGCCCATCGGGCGTCTGGGGGGGGGGGGGGGGGGGGTCTGGTGCCCTGGGGGCCAGGGGGAGGGGTGGGTCCGCGGCCCTGGGGGGGGGGGCGGGGGCGGGGGGCGGTGGGGGGGTGGTCTGGGGGCCCGCGGCTCGTGCCGTCTGATCCACTGTGGCTTCTGATTGGATCGGCTTTCAGGTTTGCGCATCAGTCTCCGACGTGGTCGGCCCAGCGCGGGTCCCGCCACGCGCTGCGACGCGGCGTGCGCTGCGCTCGAGGCGGCTCCACGTGCAGGTGCTACATGGCTCTCGTGGCAAATAGAATAAGCGCGGGTTCTGGTCGTCGTTGTCTCCAAACGAGGTTACGAGTGCGCAGACGTATACATTCTGGCGCGTATAGCACAGCAGTGGAATGCACGATGTTGGGTGTCCTCCGTCACAAATGGGGGGCGTGGCGGGGATGGCCGCGCATCTCCGCCGTGCATAGGTTGCCGTTCCCTGGGAAGGCCGCGGCGCCTCGCAGACTGCTGAGTCACGCTGCGCCGACCGCTGGCACATGCTTTGCGTCCCCTGCTGGGCAGCGCGCGCATGGCGTCCCCGTGCGAGAGCGCATGCAGTCATTTGACAGCGGAATGCTTGCCATCAGGTGAACAGAGGATCGGGTATTATTTGGGCCAACGTCGCCGACCTCGCACACCCGAGCGCGGCGTACAGTAAAGTAGAAGTAAAGTAAAGAAAAAGTAAAAGTACAAGTGCACGTGCACGTAAACGTAAAAGTAAAGTAAAGTAAACTAAGGTAATGTAAAGTGATGTAAAGTAATGTAAAGTAATGTAAAGTAAAACATAAAGTTGAGTAAAATAACGTAGAGTAAGGTAACGTAAAGTAGGGTAAAGTAAGGTAAAGCAAAGTAGAGTACAGTAGAGGAAAGCAAGGTAAAGTACAGTAAAATTAAAGTAAAATAAAGTAAAATAAAGTTAAAGTAAAGTTAACGTAAAGTTGAAGTAACGTAAAGTAGAGTAAAGTAAGGTAAAGTAAAGTAAAGTAAAGCAAAGTAAAGTGCAGCGAGGTAAAGTAAAGAAAAATAAACAGTACATCAATGTAAATTTAAAGTGAAAGTAAACATAAACGTAAAAGTAATGTAGAGGTAAAAGTAAAGTAAAGTAAAGTAAAAGTAAAAGTAAACTAAAAGTAAAGTAAAGTGAAGTAAAGTAAAGTGAAGTGAAGTAAAGTAAAGTAAATTAAAATAAAGTAATGTAAAGCGAAGTGAAGATAGGTAAAAGTAAGGTAAAGTGAAGTAAACAAAAAAGTAAAGTGAAATAAGATAAAGTAGAGTAAAGTAACGTTACGTAACGTAACGGAAAGTCGAGTAACGTAAAGTAAAGTAAAGTAAAATAAAGTAGAGTAAAGAAAAATAAAGTAAAGTAAAGTAAAGTAGCATCAAGTAAAGTTAAGTAGTGTAACGTAAAGTAAAGTAACGTAAAGGTAAAGTAAAGTACGGTAAAGTAAAGTATAGTACAGTAAACTACAGTAAAGTAAAGTAACATGAAATACAGAAAAGTAAAGCAACGCAGAGTAAAGTAACGCGATGGAAATTAAAGTAATGTAAAGAGGGTAAGGAAAAGTAAAACGTACGTAAAACGTAAAAAACTGAAAACAAGTAAAAGTAATCGTAACAGTAAACGTACAAGGACAAGTACACATAAAACTACACGTAAAAGTACAAGTAAAAGTAAACGTAAAAGTAACAGTACCAGTAGACGTAAACGTAAACGTAAATGTACACGCACAAGCAACATCAAAAGCAAACGCAAAAACAACATCAAACGCAAAAACATCAGCAACATCAATCAAAAGCAAAATCAAAAGCAAAAGCAAAAATGAAAGGAAAAGGAACATAAAAAGGTAAATGTAATGGTAAAGGTAAACGTAAAGGTAAAGGTCAACGTAAAGTTACAGGTAAGTGTAAAGGTAAAGGAACATGTAAAGGGTGACGCGTAGATGGTAAAACAATGTAAAAAGGTAAAACGGTAAAAGGTAAAACGGTAAAAAGGTAAAACTGTAAAATGTAAAATGTAAACTGTATAAGGTAAAAGGTAAGAAGGTAAAACGTAAAACGGTAAAAGGTACATGTGCAGGTACAGGTGCAGGTACATATACAGGTACAGGTAAAGGTAAAGGTAAATGTAAATGTAAAGGTAAAGATAAATGTGAAGGTGAAGGTGAAGGTAAAGGTAAAGGTAAAGGTACATGTAAAGGTGAAGGTGAAGGTGAAGGTGAAGGTAAATGCAACGGTACATGTAAAGGTGAAGGTAAAGGTAAATGTACATGTAAAGGTAAATGTAAAGGTATGTGTTCAGGTAAATGTACAGGTACAGGTACATGTACAAGTACAGGTACAGGTCAAGGTAAAGGTAAAGGTAAAGGTAAAGATAAAGGTAAAGGTAAAGGTAAAGTTAGAGGTAGAGGTAGATGTAGAGGTAGAGGTAGAGGTAGAGGTAGAGGTAGAGGTAAGGGTAAGGGTAAGGGTCAAGGTCCGGGTCAAGGTCAGGGTCAGGGTCAGGGTCAGGGTCAGGGTCAGGGTCAGGGTCAGGGTCAGGGTAAGGGTAAGGGCAATGGCAAGGGTAAGGGTAAGGGTAAGGGTAAGGGTAAGGGTAAGGGTAAGGGTATGGGTAAAGGTAATGGTGCGGGTACTGGTAAGGGTAAGGGTAAGGGTAAGGGTGAGTGTAAGGGTAAGGGTAAGAGTAAGGGTAAGGGTAAGGGTCAAGCTAGCCAGCTCGAGCGAGTCAAGCATGGCATGCCCAGTCCCACCCGCCCTCCCACAACATACGAGGCAAAGCTGGCACAACTGGGGGCCGAAGTCACGCCGGCCAGCCGGTTTGGTACAACTGATGCGGCCGCGATGGCGGTTGCCGACGGGAACTGGCGAGCGCGTGTTGAGTGCCGCGCACGCATTGCCAGACGAGTCGAGAATGGCCCGGTACACCGCAGGAAGCCAGAGGTGGCCGGAGGAATCCCGACGGTCTGACAGGACACCCCAAAGCATTTTTGTGAGAAAGCATGGGGTTTTTGATGTTTTTATGTTGAAATGCTTGCAAACACACGGTGTTCGGTAGGATTCTGACATGAACGCGCGAGTGTGCTCTTTGTTGTATTTTTTGCACAGGATTCGCGGCCTGGGTGCATGACAGAGCATCGCGAGTGCACCGCGCGATGACGTGAAATCGCTGGATTTGACAGAATTCTTAAGATTCCTATGGTTTTCCTATGATTTCAGCAAGAGAGCCCGGGCGGGAAATTTGTACAATTTTTGTGAAAAAGCATTGGGTTTTTGATGTTTTTATGTTGAACTGCTTGCAAACACACGGTGTTCGGTAGGATTCTGACATGAACGCGCGCGTGTGCTCTTTGTGGTATTTTTTTGCAATGGATTATCGCCGTGGACCGCAGGACGTCCATGTCGAGAGGAAAAAATAAGAAAAATGTTGATTTTGTATTGTTTTTTACAGGTTAGGATGGGACCACCCGGATGTGGCCCCTATCGGCCGGCCTGAGGGGGGAGTAGGAGTATATTCTAATAAGGAATAAGGATAAGGGTAAGGGTAAGGGTAAATGTAAGGGTAAAGGGTGAAGGGTGAAGGGTAAAGGCTACGGGTAAGGGTAAGGGTAGGGGTAAGGGTAAGGGTAAGGTAAGGTAAGGTAATGCAAGGTAAGGTAAGGTTACGCAAGGTTACGCGAGGTAAGGTAAAGTACGGTAAAATAAAAAAAAGTAAAATAAGGTAAAGTAAAGTAAGATAACGTAACGTAAAGTAAAGTCAAGCAAAGTAAAATCAAGTCAAGTAAAGTACAGTAAAGCACAGTAAAGTACAGTAAAATACACGTAAATCACAAATCAAGTAAAATAAAGTAAAGTAACGCACAAGTAAACTATAACGTAAAGTATACAGTGAAGTAAAGTAAAGTATAGTAAAGTACAGTATAGTAAAGTGAAGTGACGTGGAGTGAAGTAAAGTAAAGTGAGGTGAAGTAAAGTAAGGTGAATTAAAGTGAAGTACAGTAAATTAAAGTCAAGTAAAGTACAGTAAAGTAAAGTAAAGTAAAGTAAGGTACATTACATTACTGTACAGTACAGTACAGTAAAGTAACTTAAAGTAAAGTAAAGTAGAGTAGAGTAGAGTATAGTAAAGTAAAAAGTACAGTAAAGTAAAGTAAAGCAAATCAGAACAAAGTAACGTACAGCAAAGTAAAGCAACTTGCAGGGCGCGGACTGATGCGCCGCCCTTTTATTTAATTGGAAGCCACACAGCTGGTCGTAATTGTCAGAGTTCTCACTCTCCCTATTGACCGAGAGGAAGTCAAGACCCTTGTGGCGAAGGCCGCGATGGTGCTCGAGACGGACAGGGCCGACCAGCCAGAATACATGTTGGCGATGCAGAACGACTGGGCGTCTGCGGCCGAGGCGTTCTGGAGCAGCGACGAGGACCTTGGCGTCCGTGAACGACGCGCCCAATGTGCGTGGCAACCCGCTCCCACGCCATGAAATTTGAAGAGCGATTCGCGGTGTCAGCCCCGCCCCAGACAATTTAATGCTCTGCGCGGGGCCCGTGGGGAGGGAAGTCTGTGGGCGGGGCCTTGTGGTTCCGACGTTTCGGACGCGTCGCGGGGGCTCTTTGGGCGGGGCCTGGGGACCGCGTGCGCGGCGCCCCATGGAGGCGCGCAGTTCCGCGGCGCAAGCGTGCCCTGCGTATAACAGGATCCCGAGCCAAATCGTGCAAGCACTGTTCGGGATTGCAAACCGTCGCGCCGATTGCACGTGGTCGCTCTCCCAGAACAACTCACCCACCCCTCGCCCTCGTGCCGCAGAGCGCACAGCATGTTATTGCATGAATTCTTCGTGTTTCCCAGGGTAGCAGTAAGTTTTTCCCGAAGCAGAATCGTGGCAAAGTTTGGCGCTGGCTGACTGCTACGTGGCACCGCCTCTACACGCTGACAGGTAAAGGTTGGGGCCGTTTCCAACAGACTACTCCGCCCCGCGACAGGCGGCCGCCTTTGGAGTGGCCGAGCATTACGCTTTCGATTGATCAGGGCGGAGACGGCTGGTCTGCGAGCCATTTCCTAATGAGTTGGGGCGTGAATTTGGTGCTTCTCTTTGATCCAAACCACAGGGTGTGGAATGACTGTGCGCTTGCACTCAGAGACGTTGGGTTATATTATTGGGTTCTCATCATGATCACGGTCCTGAACCTGGACCACGGCCCGTGGAGTTCGGCGAGATGGTGGGGGGAGCTCAAGGAAGGGGTTTCCGAGTACACCACGGTCGCCACCGAGGCTTGCCCAATATTCGACGCGCTGTGGCCGAGCATCAAGGATGAGATCAACGACCACTCGGAGCACCCCGACGACGTGCTGCTGAGCCAGAGTGACGCCTTCAAGGGTATCGGCAAGTGCGTCGACCACAAACAAGAGAAGGTCGCTTCGTCCAGGTGGTTTGGGTATTACTTCTCGGCCAACAGATTTCTCAAGATATGGTCCCACAGACTCTGCGCGATGATGTGCATGGTGGTTGCACTCGGATGCACAATGTCCGCCTTGAGGCATAAGCTCGACGCCGTCCTATTGCAGCCAAGAGATGAAGGGGGCGACGTGGGGAAGACAACGACAGGAGCTGATCGTGGGGAAGTTCGGAAGCTCAGAATGAGCTGCCCGAACACCGTCAGTTTTGCGGCGCAGATGTTGAGTAACAGGTGGCTCTACCACGCGAACGTCATCATCCTTGGCATCTTGAAGCCCGTTGCGGAGAGGTGCAGCGAGCAGAACGTTGAGAACCGATCTGGTGCGAAGAGCGTGGAGATAGCAATGAAAAGGGCAATTGATGGTGGGCTGGAATAGCCAGCAGAGATCGTCCGAGTGATGAACTCGCGCGTGCTCTTCGAGAAGTGCCAGTGCCACTTCAACGGGTGCTCCAACGCGATTGCACAATTGCCTGAGGATGATCCTAGGGTGCTTGCTGAAGATGGTTATGCTCGCATCATCGGTGATTTTGGAGTTTCCCTCATTACTCGACGCTACCGTTCTCTGATGCAGTTCAAGACGTATCCGCTGAAATTCCCACGCCTTCTGGACCCAGACCGAGGCGGCGACATATTGAACGATATTCGACAGGAGTACGCTGATTTTCAATTTGCGGATGCGCAGGTCGGGACATGGTGGCGGAAAGTAGCGGAGAGGCATCCCTTCAAACGTCTCCACTCACAGCAGATCATCGGGGCGCTTGAGGCGTCTGGTTGGCGCGTCACAGACGAAATCCAAGATCTCCTGCGCAGACAGTGGGACGGAGTTACCCACGCCAAGATCGTCGAGGATGCTGCGAGGGAGCTCAGACAGGAGGAGACAAATCAAAATTTCAAGAAGGTAATGTCTGGAGCGAGGGCTTGGGCGAAGCTCATCAACGGCACGATTGAGACGACGAAGTTTAAGTACAAGAGCTTGAAACATAAAAACGTTGTCATCAAAAGAGGCTTGGCAACGAAACGATGCCCAGCAGTGTTCAAGGTTCGGCCGAGACTTTGCCCCAAGGCTTTCCACGACATCGTCAGCGAGCGCAGGGCTGCACCGTATTTTTCGACATCACCCTTGATGATGTCAGCAACAGTGGAAGACATGGCGCTGATCCGCCACGTGCGCTCCATCGACGACCTTGGCGCCACGAACACGGCATGGCATTCTCTACTTGCAGGGTGCAAGCAGAACCGGTTCCTGATTAGGACGCCTACTTTTGCTGGTGGCAGGTGGTACTTACCACTGGGATCCACATCTGGCGCGTGTGTCCCATCCCTGCCAATCTTCGAGTGCTTGCACATGGGCAAGACGTACTTCAAGCTCGACGCGAACATGAACAACATGGTGTTTTTTCCTGTTACCGATTGGGACGCTGTGGAAGCGTGGTCGTGCAGATGGCGGAGCCCATTGGGCGTTCGGTGCTCGTCTGGCCGTTGGCTGGAAGGCTTCTCGAACCTCATTTTGGAGCCAGCGTCGGCGGCGCCGTCCAAGCTGGTCGTTGCGGGGGCGCTCGCAGCCTTTTGGGGCATGCCCAAGGTGATGCTGACGAGGATTGCGAGGGCGATTGGGCTTGTCGTGCCAGCGACCATGAGTGTCGTTGATTTGCTGATGGCCATCGCTGCGAAAGTCACCCCCGACATCACTGACGAGATCAAGCTCGCCATCTTGAGGTGCAGGATCGACCTGGGCGACGAGGCGCTGCAGCTTCTCCTGCAGGAGGGCGTCAAGGAAGAGCTGCCCGAGAAAGACTTGGCGGACTGCAACAAGGAGCTGAACGACCGCTCGGAACTCAAGGGCGCCATTCAGAAGGAGATGAAGAAGTTGAAACAACAAATTGCTGATGAGAAAGCTGCGGAGGAACTCGCCGCAGGAGGGATAGGTAAGGCCAAGGGGAAAGGCAAGCCACCTCCTGCGCCGCCAGCGAAGAAGTACCCGCCGAAGGTAGCGCTCCCCGATGACCTTAGCAAGGAGGTGATCGCCGAGTACCTGCCCCTAGGCAACAAGACCGGCCTGGACGAGTTGGACCAGTGCTGGCGGCTGACAAGCTACGGCAAGCAGTTCACGAGGTCTTTCAACCTTTATACGCCGCAAGGTGCAGCAGAGATCTTGATCAAGCTTGCTTGGAAAAGGGCAATTGATTTGCACTACGAGGATGCTTGCCCGTTCGAGGACTTCCACCTGTGAGTGAGCATCGCGCTGGCCGAGCCTGCGGCCGAGGTGGATATAAACACTATTACGTGTGATGGTGTTGAGAGAATATTATGCCCACGACGTCATCCACCATGTCCTTCGAGCGTTTCTGAAATCCAGCGTTCTTTGATGTGTTATCGTGTGCGTGTTTGCTCCAGCGCAATATTCCGCCACGCATTGTTGGCCACAGCTGGCAGCTCGCATGCACTGATGCCTGCGGCAAGCCGCCCGTGTTACGGACACAGGTCCAGTCCTGCTTGCCTTCGGGCGTTCTTGGCGCCGTCCTGGGGATCTCGGGATTTGTTAGGGTGCTGATGCGGGCCCAGAGGCCCAGGTGGAAGGGGCGATATACGCTAAACCCCATTTGGCATTTCAGCGTGTGTGGCCCAGGCCCTGGTATATGGCTCATACGTGGCCCTCTGGGAGCCTCTTGGAGCCAGGTCGAGCATCTCGGGCGCCTCTCAGGGGGGATCCTTGGATGGTCATGGCGCCCATGATAGATGTTCGTGCGACTTGTGGCCGTCTTGTGCACGCTTCATTGTCTCGGGGCGCATGCTGTGTCGTAGCGCCCCACGTTTCCCACGCTAGTATATCACAACATGACGTACCATAGCGCAACGTAGCGTCACATCGCACGGCATGGCATAGCATAACAGTGGGTGACATAGCATAACACAACATATCATAACGTGATGTACACTAGCATGGCACTCATGACAATACATGACGTTAAATTAAACATGTATTTTGAGACACTATTGGTTCGTTTGGCTTCGGTGTATCAAAACAAACTTTCTGGCGCGCGACCCATCCATAGAGGCATAGCGCAGCGTGCAGGCCCATATCCAAGCGTGAAGTAACGCGATGCAGCCTAGCAAGGCATAGCAGCGCATAGCACGGCATAGCATGCTATACCATAAAATGCACATATCACACCATAACATATCATACCATGACGCACCCTGGCACCATATACGCCAGCGAGGAAAACGACGACGAGAGCCAACGTCCAAAGCCATCTGCGGGAACATTACCCTCGAGAGCCCCCTTTGTTGAGCGTGGACAGATCGCCAGGGCCACATCTGACGCAAGGACATTCATAACTTCGCTACCCTGTATGGCCCTTACGATACATGCACGGGTAACATAATGCAGCATATTGTCGCATCAACGTGGCGCTTACAATGTATATTGGGCCACCACGCGCACGATAAAAATAAGACGCTCCTATGGGCTGCTTGCGGGCATTGGTTGCCGCGATGCGTTTGCTTGACACTTGCGCGTTTCATGCGCCATCGGAACGAACAACTGGCACGGGGACCGCGTTGAATATGTAGAATATGGCGCATGCTTAGTTGTAAGGGTCGCGCGGACCATCCTTTGCGAAACTGTGACATCCATGCTGGCCACAGGTCCATGGCATGGTGCATTCTAATCTGTGCCCCTTTCTAAAAACGGCAGTGGGGATGGTCATGCCACGCGCGTTGTATCAATATCATTTCGCCTGTGACCCGTATGATGGCCTCATGGGCCATGACCAAACTTATTTTCATCCCCTTAACCATTGTATCGGCCACAACAACATGTGTAGTATGAGCGGCGGCCAGTCGTGCTACTACGACTAATAGCACGAATAGAAATCCAAGCTGCATTTGCATTATCGCGTCTGCATCGGTTACGGCGCTGGTGAACGGTTGGTCGGGCATCTGCGCTTCGGGGCAGCATTCGCATGTTCAGTTAACGTTGTCGTTCCAAGACGTGAGCCAGTGTTTACACTAGCGCTGGTGACAGCGGCTTAGTAGCGGAACCGCCCGCGAAAAATGGAAAACCGCCAGCCATCAAGCGAGGCGCCATGGGCCCCCCCCTTCCCCATCGGTGGCCGATAATCCCGAAACGCCAGTCACGCACGCGACGCACGCGGAGCGCCGACGGGCGCCCGCCAGGCGAGAACCCGAAACCACCTGACCAGTACATTGCAGCACGTGAGACGCCCTTTCTGCGAGCGCTGCTCAAGTACCACAGATCGCCTTTTTTGTCGGGGGGCGTTGCGAAAAAAGCAAGCGCCGCAAATCGGCGATTGCGTTTCTGCCGTTGTCATGTTCGGCCCCCATCGTCGCCCGATAGCCACGTCGACGCACGGGTTGTTCGAGGCAGATTCCGCGTTGCGGCTACTTGGGGGGCGCCCGCACGAACACCCAACAAAACCACATGGCGCCCAACATGTGACAACTACCAAACGCAAGGTGTCGATAATGCGGTTCAGCACAGGTGCCGCCGCGCGCCACGCAGCATATGCGTGGCGCACTGCGAGCGTGCGCTACAGACGGAAGGCGTGTGCGCGCTCAGGATCTCAAACAAATGATACCAAAAACAGCTAAGTTTAGTTTCCTGTTTTCTTCCTCTCTCTATCATTGAGGTATTTTTCATTTTTTTCGCCGAAAATCCCCCTGTAGGGTGACAGGCCCGACTTAACCCAGAAGCTCTGGCTCGGCGGCCGGCGCGGGGGGGAGAAGTGAGCAGGGGCGGGCCTTTTCAGAAGGCTCGGAAGTCCCCCGGCCTTCTGAGAAGTCTTCTAAGCCTTCCCTCGGTGGCGGAAAAGAGGGGGGTGATGACTAGGGGGGGTGGATATCATGACGGGGGTCATGATATTTCCCCAGATCTCATGGCGCCTCGTCTTATTTCGTTACGTCCCTGGCCCCCCCGCTGGGCCGCGCACATGCCGCCGGTCATGATTTGCACCCCCCCCTCTTGGACACCCCCTCTTGGCCGCTCCCGATTCCCCGAAGACACAGGAAACACCTCTCGGAAGGCCGGCGGGCCTTTGAGAAGTCCCGCCGCCCTCCGAGGAGGCCTTCTCCTTGTCGCTTCCTGTCAGAGCCCCGAACCATCAGGGTAACTCGGGTCAGGGCTAACTCGGGTTCCTTTTTCGGGAATCCAAGCCCGACTTACCCCGGACCCGAGTTACCCCGGATAACTCAGGCGCCCAGAGCCCCGAACCATCAGGGGTAACTCGGGTCAGGGCTAGCTCGGGTTCCTTTTTCGGGAATCCAAACCCGAGTTACCCCGGACCCGAGTTATCCCGGATGACTCGGGCGCCCAAGCCTGCCCTCGCTCGCCGCCGACTGGCCCCGTGGCTCTCCTCTGCCTCCTCGCCTCTCCACGGCGCCTTCGGGTGGAGGAGGAGGAGGAGGAGGAGGAGGAGGAGGAGGAGGAGGAGGAGGAGGAGGAGGAGGAGCTTCCTGCCCTCGCTCGCCGCCGACTGGCCCTGTGGCCCTCCTCTGCCTCGTCGCCTCTCCGCGGCGCCTTCGGGTGGGCGGGCGCGCGGCGGGCGTGACGCTCGGAGGGCGGGCCAGGACCAGGGGCCAGCGCCGGGGGGGGGGGGGGAGCTGGCCCAGGGGGGTTAGACTCTAGGCGATGCTTAAGAAAACCCAAGTTTTCGGCCAGAGTCTCGATGATTCTTAATGTTTCCATGCAGATCCCAAGATTTGAGTAGACATTCTGGGTTTTTATTCAAGTTCTGAGACTATGAATTTCTTAACCCATGATTTCTAAAGCATTTCGCAGGGTGTAGACAGGCTCACTGGGGAGAGGCTCATTGGGGAGAGGCTCGAGGTGCCACATTTTCGGTCGCTCTCGTGGGTTCTCAGCGGCCTGTCAGTCCCTGGGCACCTCCCAGCGGCGGCGCCTCGCTGCGGGCATTCCGGGGGTGCCTTGATCGTCCCGAGAGAGGGCGCCAGAGAGGCGAGTCATGGCCCGAGAGCCAGGTGGGCAACGTCAGGTGGGGATACAGTGGAGACCCACACCAAGAATCACCCTGCTTGCCTCCAGGGTGCCCTTGGTTTCTTGGGTTTTGATGATTTTGCTTTGGAAAGCGTGACGCTACCACACCAACAATCAATGGACGTCCTGGGGTCTGAGGCTTGGGTTTCTTGTGGAAGCTTTCTTGTGGACTGGCCCCCACTGTAGGCTCAGGGGTGACGCATCGACCTCCACTCGCCCATTCATCGCCGATAGGGCCCAGTAGCCCCAGCCTGCCCAGGCAACGTGCGGGTTCACAGCCAGATCGGCCCACCGCCGATCTATCGGCGACGTTTCGGCGATTCCAGGTCGATGCGGCCCCCCTATGCCAGCCAGTCCTCAGTGGGCCCCAGAAACGGCAGGGCCGTTTCTTCACCGTTTCCGTCCACGGCCACGCCTCCTCGAGAACGAGAGAGCCCCTGCATCGGCGATGCATCGGCGCATCGGCGATGCGGCTCGACGTGGAGCTTGATTTTCTCCACGCCGACGTCGCCGATGCGGCGAGATCCTCCGACCCCATCCACTCGGACCCCATCTAGGAGGCCCGTATACAGGGCCCCCCAGAGGCAGTGAGAACGACCAGCATCCCCGATCTCTGAGCCTCGATCCTCAAGCCTCAACCCTCTGCCTTTGGACCTTCTCCCCCACCGTCGCATTTTTTCTCGTCGTGGGCCCCTCAGGATCTCGGGCCCTAGCTCAGGGCCCCGAGGCGGAGACACTTCCTCCAGAGGCCTAAGGCTGGCACGTTTGTTTTGCGACAACCAGCCTCAAACCAAACTTGATTCTCGATTTTTTAGCATCTCACTTCTGAGGTTTCCATCCTTGATTCTTGATTCTTCATCTTCGATCCTAAAACCATCCTCGCTCCTCGATGCTCAAACTTTGATCCCCAAGTCTTCCGACGTCTCCTCCGCGACGCTGACGTTCCTCAACCCTTCCGAGGCATGCCGATTCGATGCTGCGGCCGACTCATCCGATGCCTGCCGATTCGGTGTGCGGATCGATCCCATT